CATTATACCAGGGACCCGGGGAATTTGAATTAGAGGGCCCCATGTACTGTACACTGTTGACTTCAAACATTTTTTTCCGGGGCAATTTTTTGGGGAAATATATATATATATTATAAATAATTAGTTTGGGGCCTCCTGTTGGTGGTTACCCTTTTTGCCCATAGGATAATGCGCCAGTAGTCGACCAGATGCCAGCCTCCCGTGAAGATTACAAATTTTTACGAATGGATTGATCCGTATATGTTATTTTCAATATCCGGCCATCCCCACATTTTGAGCCTGGTCGAACTAATTATATGCATGTTTAAAAGGCTCTTTTATTTCCCAAAGACGAACTGTACACAAGTTTAATCGTAATTTTATTATAAAAAATTCTAAAATTAAGTTCAATAATAATGAATTATACACATACATGAACTCTTGTGACTAGGAAAAGTTAACATTCTGCATAGAAAAGACACTTATTTATATTATTTTCTTATTGAATTTTTAGTATGATTTATAAGTTAGCTTAACGTTTTTATATAACAATAGAAGATTCGTTTTGCAAAATGCTATAAATTATTGTATACATTTTTTTTTACAAGTTTAGTAATTATACTATTAAAAAGACTTCACATAAAAATATTTACAGCTTGTTTTATAGCTGTAACAATAATAAAAGCGTGTCCACTGAAAAGTGTTATTTTATGGTTTTCTGTAAGATATTAATCGACTTTAAAAAAAAAATAAATGATAATAAAATGATACTTACATGATATATTATTTTGTACAATGAATTTTTATAGAAAAAAATTAAACAGTTATTTTAGTTGAGCCTGTTCTTATGTACTAAATGAAAGACAGCAATTGTATAGAATAAATTCTAGTTAAAATCAATATGCAATCATTTAAATTCCTCTTTATTTATAAGGCATTTTAAAAGAATAATACAAGATAAATTTTCATTTGGTTTATTATAAACTTGAGAAAAACTATGTCAACATATTTCAACAGTGCATAAAATGTTTACAAGGAATATATATGCTTAGGAATAGGGAAATTGTTTGAAGTTTCCGGTTATCAGGAATTCAAAAGGTTAAGTTTACATTGACTACTTCCGAAAGGTCAATCTATTAAGGCTAACGAACGGTCATAAATTAAAATATCAATAGAATAAAACCTAGAATTATATCTAGAATAGAACTTTATCCCTTTTAAATATAGCGATTCACTTATTAAGATATGGTTCTTTAATATTTTGGTTAAAAGATTACCTTAAATATGGACGAGTTATAATATATACCTAGAATATTATTAGGGTATTATATAGCAGTGCTAAACAAGCTATTGTAGCGATCATTATAAATTAATAATGCATTAACCGCAAATGTTAAAATTTAGTTTATACAATATAATCTGATCACAATAATATATGATTTATATGCTTAAAACTACCGTATAATTTTCTACGATATACAAATATATGTCGTTATGTCGAATGCATTATAGACTATAATTCATTTGGCTATTCACAGTAGGGTTTTATTATTATTCGATATACCAAAATTTAGTAATTCGTATCCATTAGATCTTACACAACATTCGTAACAATAATGTAAATTTTATGTGTCTAATTTCGTTTTTAAAAACTAATAATTCTTTACTTTATTCGTTGTTAATATGATGATTTATTGTTTTATTCTAAATTTAACTTGCCAAATAGCCAATTTGTAAAATTTTTAGGAGTGAAACTTAAAAGAAAAATATACTTTTTAAATTTACATTTCAAAAACGTACGCTAGGGCGGTAAATGGCGCTACAACATCGAGTGGATAACTCAAAATGCCTGAAAATTAATTTTAAGTTTTCTATTGATTTTTATATTTAAAAAAAATACAATTTTAAAAATATATTTTTTTTTCTATTTTTATAAGTAAATAAATATTTATAACATGAATTATGAATATATTATACGTAGGCTATACAGTATAAGACAAATTTTCGGTATAGTTATTACAAATCATTTTAAAATAACTGTAGCGACATATTTCAATAGAGCATAAAATTATTTATGGGCATAGGTGGGTTTAAAATGCTCGGCCATGGGAAAATTGGCGTTCCGGTTGATAGAAATTCGGAAGATTAATTTTTATATTAAATTCTGAAATTCGAATCTAGATTAAGACAGAGCCGATGAGAGGAAACTTTGGCTAAAATTTTAATTATATTATGCAATTTCAAGTGTATAAAGGAAAGGAAAATATAATAAATTGAGAGAGTGACATCATTAGAAGGGACATAGAGCCGGGAAGACCCTAGCTTTAGGGCCTTTCCGTGTCTATATCCCTTCTAATCGGCTCTATATCTCTTCTAAGGCCCTGAATTAGATTATAAAGGTTTTAGAATAAAATATTAAATGAATCTGATACGTATTTGTACTTATATTTTGCTATTCAATTAACCTATACTTTATAAATTTCATATTATATATATTTGAAAACATTATCGTTATTATATTTCAAATAATACAATTGTTAATGCTAATTTGGCTAATTCTCTGCCCATTAATGATAGTAATTGTTATTGCGCCTTCCGAGTACGCTCTACTTATTATGTTTATTTGTCAATTAAAATGAAAATTAAGCAATATAAATAACAATATTCATAATACGGTATTTACATTCCAGTTTTCAATCCGAATATTGGTTGTTGAAGGCAGTAATTTGACGTCACGAGCGACGTTCCCATTCACTAATATTACAAATATTTAATTATACATAATTCATTGGAACCAAGCATTGACACCACGCCTATTGAACTAACGTTGATAATAACATTGCTGCTATACTGAAAGGAAACTGCGAATTTTGTGTGTAAATGGTGTAAATTTTAATACCTAAATCACACGTTATACATAGAAAAAATGTAAAATTCTTTCTTAATATAAAGCTTTTAAAGTATTAAATTCGATATAAGATTCAGTATCAAAGTCCATGGTTTGGTACTAAATCTGATATTGAATATTCTATATAATGTAGAATAATATAATGGAGAATATATATATATAACGATTCTCAACTTTTTCTCACTCGAGCCTTCTGAGTATAGGCTTATAGATCTTTCTTGCGTACCACCGTTGGTACATGTACATGTACCACTGGTTGAGAATTGCTGATTACAGAATATTTTCTGTTAATAAATAATGGTATTTTTTTTTATTAATTTGGATAAATAACATTATTATTTTTAACGAAATAAAGATACGTATCATTAATTCTTCGATCTCTCGATAAAAATGTATTCACTTATGTTGAGAAATCACGCATTTCGAATCATCAAAGAACTATGAAATAAGCCAGCTTCACATGATAAATTATTGAAAAATTCAGGTCAAAGATTTTATTTTGTGAGTTTATTGCACTTTTAGACGTGAGGTATTAAAATTGTTTATTTTATTTCCAAACTTTAGACGTCTTTATATAGTAGAATACGAGATTTATCGACTAAATATATACGCATATTTACGTAATTAAGCTTACATTGCGTGTAAATTAATGATTCGTTCAAGCTAAAAATTTTACTGATAGATTCGTTAAACAATTGGCTCATAAATGTTTTGGATCTATAAAATTTATCACGCAATTATCAACTCTTAAATGAGCTTTCATCACAATTAAAATTGAATAATTAATCACACTAAACAGAACAAAAGAGCGAACTCATAAAATTCTTTTATTATTCGTGGAGATGTGACGTATTTTAAATTTGACCCGGGAACGAAAACTACCTTTTGAACACATGCTAAAAGTCGGTCACTCCCTCTAGCGAGAGACACGTCGACTGACGTCACAGGTATGGAAGGTTTGCACGTGTTCTTTAACCCGTCACTTCATGAGGCCCAGAATGGAGGCATCTGCACCCAGACCCGAATGTCCTATTAATCACATTGCTTGTATAGTATGGGGGAAACAAAGAGGAATACGTGTACATTTGTTGGTAAGTAAGTTCTCTATATACTAAAACAAATTAATTTTTATATAAATATTATTGTAAATTTATTACGTCATACATAGCAGGAAAATACTGTATATAAAATTAATTAATTTCGTTTACGGTGTATATAAAAAAAAATTCCATTTAAAAAAGAAGGAGGGAAGTTGTTATTAAATTTTAAATTTTAATTTAATTTAATTAATAATGAATTTATAAATACCGAAATTCCGTTTTTGACAAGCAAAAAAGCTATTTCTGGAATTGCACTCGACTATTTTCTAAGCTCGACAGAGTGGAAAATCAAAGAAATTTCCCTCCTCGATCGATCGATTTGATCGAAATTTAAATAACTGCTTCCATGTTTGAGAAAATAAATATTTTTTTTTTTTTTTTAGAAAACTATTTACGGAAATTAGAATTGGAAATCTTACATTTTTCTATCTTATTTAAAAATTAAAAAAATTAATTCAAATTAAATAAAAATAGTAATCGATTTATCTATAAGAAAATCTCCGATTCTTATCTTTCATCGCTTGAAATCTCTTAAGTTAAAGCTAAAATAGTTAATACACAGTCGAACCTGTGAAGAACGGACACTGATGGAAACATAAATGAAATGCAGGTTATTTTGTAAGCATTTTTTTTTTTAAATGGCGCGTTATAACTTCATAGGGGCCAGGCAAATTTAAATGAGGGATCCAATGTACTGTAGTGTTGCCTTCTTTTAGGGAAATATTTTGGGGCCACCCTGTTGGTGGGGTCCCAGGTATTGCCCTTTTTTCTATAGAATAACGCGCCACTGCGTTTTTTTTGGTACGATGATGTTTGACCAAAAGAAAAATGGCCGCCGTTTAGAAGTGGGCGTTATTGGAGATTCGANTGTGACGTATTTTAAATTTGACCCGGGAACGAAAACTACCTTTTGAACACATGCTAAAAGTCGGTCACTCCCTCTAGCGAGAGACACGTCGACTGACGTCACAGGTATGGAAGGTTTGCACGTGTTCTTTAACCCGTCACTTCATGAGGCCCAGAATGGAGGCATCTGCACCCAGACCCGAATGTCCTATTAATCACATTGCTTGTATAGTATGGGGGAAACAAAGAGGAATACGTGTACATTTGTTGGTAAGTAAGTTCTCTATATACTAAAATAAATTAATTTTTATATAAATATTATTGTAAATTTATTACGTCATACATAGCAGGAAAATACTGTATATAAAATTAATTAATTTCGTTTACGGTGTATATAAAAAAAAATTCCATTTAAAAAAGAAGGAGGGAAGTTGTTATTAAATTTTAAATTTTAATTTAATTTAATTAATAATGAATTTATAAATACCGAAATTCCGTTTTTGACAAGCAAAAAAGCTATTTCTGGAATTGCACTCGACTATTTTCTAAGCTCAACAGAGTGGAAAATCAAAGAAATTTCCCTCCTCGATCGATCGATTTGATCGAAATTTAAATAACTGCTTCCATGTTTGAGAAAATAAATATTTTTTTTTTTTTTAGAAAACTATTTACGGAAATTAGAATTGGAAATCTTACATTTTTCTATCTTATTTAAAAATTAAAAAAATTAATTCAAATTAAATAAAAATAGTAATCGATTTATCTATAAGAAAATCTCCGATTCTTATCTTTCATCGCTTGAAATCTCTTAAGTTAAAGCTAAAATAGTTAATACACAGTCGAACCTGTGAAGAACGGACACTGATGGAAACATAAATGAAATGCAGGTTATTTTGTAAGCATTTTTTTTTTAAATGGCGCGTTATAACTTCATAGGGGCCAGGCAAATTTAAATGAGGGATCCAATGTACTGTAGTGTTGCCTTCTTTTAGGGAAATATTTTGGGGCCACCCTGTTGGTGGGGTCCCAGGTATTGCCCTTTTTTCTATAGAATAACGCGCCACTGCGTTTTTTTTGGTACGATGATGTTTGACCAAAAGAAAAATGGCCGCCGTTTAGAAGTGGGCGTTATTGGAGATTCGAACTGTATTTACATTTTAAAATTATAGATATTTTAGTATTCAAATTTAAAACTTTGCACGAATTTCTAATTTAATTCATGTATTAAAGATTAAAATTTTAAATAAGATTACGAATCAATATTTATTATAATTTTATTATAAAATGTTTACTTAAAATTTCAATATAATGAATTTTAAAACTAAAATTTTTAAATAAATAATATATTTATAATTAAAAATCATTTATTAGAATGAAAATAAAATACTAAAAATAATTTTATAGGTTTACATATTAAAATTTTACCTGTTCATATTGAGTTTAGTATTATTGGATATAGGTAATTTGACGGTATAAAAATTATTAATACTTAAATAAATATACAGTAAAACCTGTGTAAGCCGGACTCGGATAGTACAAAATACTTTTTCCGATTTGAATAGAGATTTTAAATACAGAAATTCGCTAAATTTCGAAGAATTTTGCCGTTTAGGCAGGTTTCCGTTTTGCTAAGGTTCCGTATTGAACAGGTTTTACTGTATATAGTAAATTTTTAAAGTATTTATAGTGTTAACGAGATATTCATAAACTTAAAATTTCAATTTACCTTGTTACTCAGCTGTGAGTAAATAAGGAAATGACCTTCTTTGAGAAATGATTACAGAGGCAACTCTCGTTTAATGTCTTAACCTTCACCCCGCTTTGACCTTAGTCATTTCCTCTTTCTCGTTTGGAAGATGGAAAATGGCCTGTGCAAATTTCATACTCAAACACTTGACGTCATAGGTTAACGTGTCTTGTTTGAACTTTTGTAAGTTTTACAAGGAATTTTCTAAATTATGAGAGGTTCCGGAGTTATAACTTTTAATTATACTATGAAAAAATGTTCTAATTTTTATCAAAATGTCATAATTTCTGATTTAAACAAGCTAAATAACTATATTTAAAACATTCTAGTGTTTACAGACAATAGAAAACATTAAAAATTATGAAGTTAGACCGTCATTACACGTGTTTATATCGATGTTTACAAGTATATCAGTGTATATTTTAGCTCAGAAAACCTGTGAACAACGGCTACTGATGGAAACATAAGAATGGCCGCCGTTTAGAAGTTCGATTGTATTTAGAGTGCCAGAAGTTTATGTTATAGAATTTCCTATTTTAAAATCTATAGAGGTTCTGAGAGAGGTAAGATGAGATCTGAGATCCACCCTCTCCGAAAAATCATAAATATTTTAAATTAAATCAATAAAACAAATAAAACACATTTTTTTCATTACTTATCAATAGAAATTTTATTTTCATATCACATTTTTTTTATATAAAAGATTAAATTTTGGCATTCTTCTATGTCTAAAGACAAAGTCAAACGATCCTGCTGACGTCTCTCTGCAATTCTTCTGTTAATATTTATCAATTATTCTCATTCGTACTCACTTTTATACGTAAGAAACCGCTATTAATTTTAAAAATATTTCAAATTAAAACGATAAATGATCATTATTAATATAATAACTGATTTTATCGAATGTTAACTGATGTTTTTGGATGTTTAGCCAGCTTCTGTATTGAAGAAATTGTTAAATGTTATGCATTCAATGCCATAGTATTATACAGTTGAACCTTTGAACAACGGCCACTGACGTGGATAAAAAAAAAATGGCCGTCTTTTGGAGGTTATTTTGCGTGCATTTCAAAAAGAAATGTTCCCGAAAAGATGGCCGTTGTTGAGAGGTGCCCGTTATTAGGAGTTCGACTGTATTAAATACCTTTTAGAAACAAAAATGAATCTAGATAATTTCTTTTGGCCATTTATTATATTGTTGAGAATGCCATTGAACGAATAAGGAATGAATAAAACCAGTTTTATAGGTTAAAAATAACGTAGAATAATAATAAGATTTTTATCTCCAGTGCGTTACTCGCGCATCATGACCACGATTTACTTGTTCTCATTGATAGAAAGTATTGAATTATGTTATGAAAGTTACTCCTTTACGGAAAAAAAGAAACACAATCTTTGGCTACTAATACCAAATGCGTTTGAATATGATAAATAATCACCTATTTTCATGAAACTATTAAATAAAACTACCGACATATCAACGTAATTTCTCATAAACATGAGAATTCTAGAATTGCAACACGAAAACATTTCACCGTTACGCAATCTTGATGACTTGTTAGTGATTAAATTCCAGAAGAGCAGGCAAGCGATTGATCAACATGGCCTCTCCTAACTCACCTAAAACTCGGTTTAATAGAGCCATTTAAATTCTATCATTTGTGCCAACTATCTGAAAAATTGAGGCACTGAAAAAGTATTTTCAAAAGGAATGTAAATGTATTATATTAATTTTAAACGTTCTACAATCGTTGAAGACACGAGTTGTTGGATTTATGGTTGCAGAAGATGAATTGAAATTTGAATATTTTCTGCAATAATCTATGATTCTAGAATATTATTGTGTATCGTATATTAAGATAGAGTAATTTGTATGTGTTTTTTCTTTTTTTTATAAAACAACGGAGGGTCAGAGAGGGGCATTTTCCCTCGGGTGCCAAATGAAAAAGAGCTCTATGAACTTTCCTACCAGACATAAACATGTTGTGTAATAAGATTTAGAATCAGTTTCGGGGTTTTGTATGACGTCTTTATGCGATATAAGAATAATAAATTGAATAAAATAAAATAATTCAAAGTGTAATAAAACATTTAGATTTAATACTGATTTGTGAGTTGAAAGCACTTTTTTTCACTTGTATAAACTATTAAATCTGATTATTAATTACTAATAAAATATTTAAAATTAGAAGACACTAAAAATTTCTAATTACTAATATTTATTAGTGATTTTTTCACCCCTGTTTTACTATTTCTATAAGTTATATCGTTAAATATTTCTTTGATGTCGATAGACTATTATTTAAAATCCCTACATGAGAAGGATTTTAGAAATTTTATACAGTTCTAAATATATTGGATTAAAGTATCTAGAGTTTTACGCATTTTTCAGAGGAAGAAACACAGTGAAAAGTCAAATGAACTATCCTATGTTATCTCGTGTTAGTCTAGTGTGAAAAGGATAGGATTGATGGAATAAGGCAGCACAACACATTGGAGATCTGCCAAAGGAGGGACATCCCTCTTGGCACATCTCCCTTGAGAAGACTTTCTTCGAAAGAAACTGGGCCCTGTTTAGGTGTTAGACACGTGAAGAAAACTCGAAAAACTCGCGTAGTCAGCCCTAAGGTGAGGCTCGAACCTTCGACTTGTGTTTAGTGGTTTTATGCATTCGAGTGGTGTAAAAGGACGTAATATTTTTGTGAAGACCATAAAATATTTCGTGTCAGTCTTCTAATTACGAATACTTTTCCCCCCTAAAAAATTAAAAACTAGAAATATCTGTTTGTATTAGTTTTAAATTGTTAAAAATGTTAATTTACTTAAAATGGTCGGTTGTTTCCCACTTT